AATTATTACCTGTGACTGTTTCAACAGTTTGGAATCATTTTTGCTCAGGGGTTTAAGGGAAGAATCCCTTTTAGGCTTCACTTGTCTTTATTATGAAAATAAATCAGTAGGAACAGTCGCATAAGTTCACATCATGGCCCATATGTTTTGATGGTTCTGTAAATGTACATTTTTGGGTTAGAAGCTTTAAAGCTGTTAAGCGTTAACCCAGCTACTGATCTTTTTATTTCTTTAATGGATGTGAAGTGGATTCTGTTTGTTACATGTGAATGGCATTTGAAGCTGTTTGCTTATGGTACAAAAGTACAGCAAACTGGTATCTAAATCCCTGATTCCTGGAGCATCTTTCAAAAGAAGAAAGATAAGCTTTACATTTCTGCCAGATTTAATCTTTTTTTTTCCATTGTGAAGAACTGAATTCTTAGGATCAATAAAAACAACAATATTTGTATTGTAGATGCAGTACTGGTCCCATGTAGAAAAGGGGGCCACTTAGATTATCAAGTCTTTGGAACAGGGTGTGAAGGTTTATACAGTGGCCAGCACAATGGCGTCCTTCTCTTTATACATACGGCCCGATACACACATGTAAAAACATCCCTGCTCCAGAGAATGTACAGTGTAAGCAAGCTGTATTTTGATAAAATGACTTTGTGAAACAGGGGCACATTTCTCTTGCTCATTTCTGGAGTGGTTTGGTTTTTAATGTAATCACAGGGTTTAAGGATTTATTTGAAATATATAAAAGTGGAAAGATTCAGAACGATGACCAGAGTTCTGTTTTAATGTACTGTTTTTGTGCCCTGAGATTGTGATTGTGATTGATGTGTAATTTCGGGTTAAGTGCTTTTAAATCCCTATTCCCACAATTGGATGTAGTGGCAGGGAACCCAGCAGTATTCAGTAAACTGCATTATTCAGAGTTGAGGCTGTATCCATGTACAAGAAGGATACTTCAGCATGTAGTAAAACTATTTATTTGCTTAAAGCACTCTTCTGAACGGGGTCCTATTTGGATTGTTTGTTTAAGGCCAACAGGAAACTCAAGGCAGGCTATAACAGAATATAACCGTGCTAAGAAATTTATGCAATTAAAACCAGAGTTTAATTTACTAATCTCAAAATGTCTTGTGTGCCCTCTACTGGCTATGCATCAGCAGTGACTAAACAAACTTGATTCATTAGTGATGGTCTGTAGCAGAGCCAGGGCAAATTCCAAGAGTGAAAATTTATGCAAATCATTTTCTCTGGGTCAGGCTTTTATAGAAGGGGATCTTATTTAAACCAAACTGACCTTTTGTTTGGCAGAAGCTTGTGGCTGCATTCATGCCACACTGTTTTACAAGCAGTAAACTAATAATTAAAAAAGACCACCCCCACACCCAAACCCCAAATCCAGTAAAGTACAAAACCAGGAGAGCAAGTCACTTGTAACTTTCTTTTCAAACCTCCTTCTCCTGACTTGTGGTCATGCAACTTCTTTGCTTGCTTGTCCTCTGAGAGAAATGCACCTTCCTAAGGTGTTAAGCCTCAGTAGGTTCAGCTGTATGTAATTATCTCTCAGCTGGTAGTATTTTCCTGAGTTGCTTCTATACCCAGGCAGGGAATTCTTCTCCAAAACTGTAGGTTGTCATCTTGTGTGATAAGGTCTTTTCGTAGGACTACTGCCAGGGCAAGGTGTGGCAAAGTTTCCCGATCCCCTAGAAGGGGTTCCAAAAAACTCCTGTGCCTATCATTAATTTGAATACCAAAAGGACATCAACTTGCCAATATTAACAAATCCATGAAGTTTCAGAGACCACTGAAATGAGGTATCTTATGGCCAGGGTATTGTATCTAGCTTTTTTGAAGCTTTGTCCATCTAATGAGAGAACAAAAACATAACCATGTGGCTTGGAACATCTGTTCCTAAGCTAGAATAAAGAATACCAATAATACCTGACAAATTCTCCGATATTGTGCATTGTTCACTTTCAGTTTTTGCTGAACATTTCCAGAAAACCTGATATTTGAAAAGGATGACTGGTTCATTTTTATTTTTGTTTCCTTACAAAATAACTGAGTACTCTTTAACAGTTTTACTATTCAGGGACCTCTGACAACTCCAGTGATGTGGGTTATATGCATTGTGTCACCTACAAGACTTATCTTCTGCTGATAACATGGTGTACTCGGATAGTACTTTTGATTCAAAGATATCAGAGGACTTAAGAAAGAGCATTCCTGCTGTCATGCAAGGACCTGGTAGGCTATAATGACCAGCTCTTGCTTCCAGTAATAGCACTGTGGATTTTGTCTTGTCTTTAGTCAGTATGAGTGACTGCACATACACAAGTTAAAACTGGTTTCAAGGTAGAAGGATTGAAATTTCTGTTGAAGGTAAGGGAAAGTAGAAGAGCTGAACAAGATAAATCACAAAGATGCAGCAGGTGAAACAGTGTCTGAGATGAAAGCAGTGGGAAAGAATGGAAGAATCGATTGACTTGAAAATGAGTAGATAGTCTCTCTTAACTTGTAAGGTGAACAGTTTGAGGACAGTTGTATAGAGTAGAGAACAGAAGGATGTCAGCCAAATAAGAAGTCAGAATATGTAATTATTTATAAAGAGTTACACAACCTTTGTAAGTAATGTGTAATTATTGAAAGAGTTACAAGAGAAGAAAAAGACAATAATTCTGATTGTGATGGGAAATGCCAGTAGCACCCTGACAGATACTGAAAAAGGCGCTGTTTAATGGGTTTTGTCAAAGATTGAGAATCTTATTTAAGGGTTAAAAGCTTTTCTGGGGTTTTTCTTCTCTTTATGGTCTTCTGGTTGAAGTAAATTATCTCCATTTGCTTATTTAAGACTGTTGGCTGATTAACTTAATTAGTACTCATTCAGCACAGGAGTACTTTCCATGTCGAATTGTGTCTGCTGTCTCAGTGTAATAAAAAAGGGTAACAACACCCTTCTGGATTAAGCTTAGGAAGATTTGTTACTGAAGGTGAGCTTTAGACCAGATATGATGACAGCAAGAGAGGGAGGTCCTTCTGTAACTTTGAGAATTTGGCATGTTCTTTTAATTTAAAAATGAAAAATGTATACCTTAAAAAGTGGATACTGAGACATATCTTGTCTCGCCCCAAGCTGACATGTTTGTTTTTCTGCCTGCTATGGATTTTTTTGAGACATCAATGCACAGCAGTCATTTTAATTACAGAACTCATTTGTGGTATGGCCCTGAAAACACAGATGTTAAGGTGGGGGAGGGGGGCACACCTCAGACACTTTCTTTTAATAAAATGTTGCTGTAATTAAATTTTCAAGTGGGGAGGTAGGGGCAGAGGGAGAATATACTATTTTGGTTTCTAATATTTGATTGGCTTGGGATGTAATCGGACAATAAACTTCTATACTCTAAATAATAATATGCCATTTTTGTAATACATACGATAAAATTGCTGTTCAAGAGAGACCATGGGTTTTTATGATGGAGTTTCAAATTCTTTAGTATCAATATCCTACTTCTGCTAGGCTTTACCTGTTGCAGGTATACACAGTTATGGGTATTTAGGCCCAAGTCCATCTTAAGCATCTCCTTGATCCTGAACGATTCAGTAGTCCTATCAAGTTACATACTTGGTTACTCTAGGATGTTACAGTATTACTTACAGCTATAATAAGTGACCTTCATTTAAGCTTTATGGTCAGGTAAGGGAGACGCAACCAATGGATATGGAGAGCCAAATAATTTACTGGCCAGTAGAAAATGAAATAATTACAAGTCAGTGCATCTTGTATTGTTTTCTGTTGTGAAATTTCCAATTTAAATGCTACAATTTTCAGAGCACGCTGAAAAAGCAAATATGCCTTTGTAAATTAGTATTTGTTGTGGGAGTTAATGCAGGAAAAGGTTTTATGCTTCAGTTTGAGAGTATGCATATGCATCAGGCTGCAGATTGAGTTTGTCCTTTAACACTGACCTTTTTGTAAGTTCGTTGTGCAGTTGTGGAAATTGTCCAGTTTTTTGTAATTTGGAAGAGGTTTTTCCAGAACAAATTATTTCCTGACTGCTACTCATTTTTGAAGAATGTGGTTGCGTTGAAAACTCCCTCCTTCCCTCCTCTTATGCTGGAGCTGGTGGTGTCTAACATGAAGCTGGAATTTTTTTTGTTTGTTTATTTAAAAAGAGTTCAAATATGTTTGTGTCAGGCTGTGTTGCACCACTGCAACTATCCTGACTTACATACCTCAACCTTTGTTTCCAGCTTAAAACTCATTACTTTGGGTTAATTTTCCACAGCTGGCTGACTTGTGCCACTTCATTTTTGTGTGTAACAGCACTCCTAAAGTAGTATTTGTGTTTTTAAGGCAGACAAAAGTACTCAAGAGGTATGGTAAACACCAAATTAGTGATGCTCTTTCTTTGTTTTGTTGCATCCTTAAACCCCCCGTCCCCGACAAACGCTTTCTTAGTTTAGGTATCAATCCTACACACTCTGTCAGTAGTGATTCCACTGATCTCTGTGAGATCAGATAATTGATTGAATCTATTGATCCATCTTGGGGTTTTCTATGATATGCTTCATTGTATTATTTGAATCCTGTTGCTCACTAACCAGAGTAGTAAATTATGGTACTTGGATGTTTCCAGTGTCAGACCATTAAATTGTAAACTGCCTTCAGTTCAGACATTCTCTCCTGTTTGTCAAAGAAATATCATATTTAGGGCACAGCACAAATTATCATTGTTTCCTCTGACCTTTCCCTTGTGTGGCCAAAAGCAGTTTAACTTGAAAAACAATTTTAGTTGGCAATATTCAGATGTCTAGACTGATTATCCTTGGCTTTACAATTTGAATTTTTTGTTTTGCAGGGGAGGGGGAGGGCAGGGAGGGAGCTAAGAATAGTACAAAGAAAATACAATCATTGAATTATAATGCTAGAGAGCTGGCTGTGAATTACACTTTTGGCAAATTAATTCTAAGAGAGTTGTCATTTCTGTTATGTCATACAGGTTAACATACAGCCTTCTGAATGGCACCGCTCTCTCCTGCTCCCTCAGTCCTGGCTTGGATTTATGAGCAGAACATACCATGCAGTTTTACAGGTAGTTGGAGTGATGAGTCCTTTTCTGTATTTTCAGTTTTCCCATCAAGCAATTGAACTGTAAATATCAGCCACAATTCAGTAAAATGAAACCTGCATTTTAACTGTAAAATTTAAAATAATGAATTATAGACAAGTGTCCATACTAAAGGTTTGGTTAGAGTTCAGCCAGTGTTGGAGGTACATTTTGACATAGGTGCTGATTTGGCTGAAATACTTGGACTTTCAGAATTGTACTTCTCTGCTGAGATGCTTGTCCCAACTATGAATAATCCCTTGAGCTGAATTTTAATCAGTTATTCTTTGTGGAAAGATTATCTGAAGATGCTGGAGAGTATGACAAATTAGATGATGAGGATGGGAGAACCTTGAGCTCCTTCAAAAATGTGTTGCTTAAATTTTTATTTTTCTCTGCTTTTCTGTTGGTTTTATTTGAGTTTTAGTCGGGATTAACAAGAGGGCTGCTGTCATACTCTGAGTGAGAGACCAGACTACTGTTGTTTCTGAGCCATTCCAAGCCAGGGCAGACTGAAAATTTCAGCAGAAAGTCTCTTCTGATGAAATTATCTGGTCTAATTTCTTGACCAAAAAGATTCTGATCTATTTTGCACACCAAATCACCTAAAATATTTAGAGCAATAGTTTTCCTTTGAAAGCAGTGAATAGCTTGCTTTGTCTTGCTATCTTGGATGATTCATGTTTGTCTTCCCACCTATGTCAAGTGATACTGGCCACTTCCACAGTGTGAGCAACTCAGACTGCTGAGCAAATTCCCCAAAGTTTTAACTTTTCATGGTGGGATAATATAACAGAATTTTACCTTATGAGGGCAGGCTAGGCAAGAGGCCATTTTCAAAACAAAGCTAGAAAAGTGTAGATGGAAATGAATTATGTCAGCAAACAACAAATCACAGCTTTTCTTGATACCAGGTGCAGATTAAATAGCTATGGCCCTTCAGTGTGATTTTCAGATTAAACTGGATATAAATTCAGGCTCCATAATTATGATGC